CCTTTCGCCTTTCCGCCAAGGCCCCTCGGCCTCACCCGTGCCCACCAGCCCTACACGCCAGCCTCACCCCTCTTTCTTTCTCTCAAGCCTGTGCCAGTTCAACACCCCTCAAGGCCTCCCCAAGAGCTTCAGAGCCCGTCCCGCACCCACAAATCCCCTCTCTCGAAAATCCGTCAAGCTTCCGCAAAGTGGCTCCCGGGATTCTCCTTGCGAGCCTTCCTAAACGCCCCAAGGCCGCCCTTTAGGCTCCTCCCCTCGGGCCCCCAAGACTCTTCCATTCCCGGCTGTCCTTGCCCTCCTGCGACGTTCAACCTCCCGACTCGGTCCCGCACTCACTGTTCTAGGGTCCCCAGCGCCGACGGGACAAAGCCGTCCTCCGCAACACTGCCTTCCGCGGTCCTCGCCGATCGCGCAGCATCCGCAGCACAGCTACCGTCGGCATCACTGCCCGCGTTCATTTTGCTCCGCCACCAAGTGGGCCGTTGGGGCCGCCATAGAGACGCGGCGTAGACAGAGCGGACGCGCGGGTTTGGCCTCTCTAGGCGGAAGAAGGGCGCTTCTCTACTCTTCCGGGCGGACAGCGCTGGTCCGGGTAGAGCGCCTGGCCTGCTCAGTTACTCCCTGACCCACTGTGGCACGGGGGTCGTCTGCAGCCTCGCTTCCCTCTCAGCTTTCACCGGCCTGTGTCAGAGGCAACCCCTCCGTCGAGGTCCCATGGCGACTATATTTGCAAGGAACTAAAGCATAGTACTTTGGAAAATGGCCAGCAGAAGGAAAGAAACGCCAAAAGCCTGCCCCACACAACCCAGATGCACGAGTCACCTCATTGTTCCACATCGTGGGCACATCAGGGAAGGGTAGCACAGTCTATCGCATTCTTGGTTTCCCGGCCAAGACGCTGATTTCATTTGCCGCTGGGATTTTTGCTTGGAAAAAGCCTTCTGGCTTGTTCTGACTTCTCGCCAGTGGATGTTGTGGTTTAGGACCAGGGAAAGGAATCCCTCCGTTTCTCCACAGTACACCAGCTACGGTGATCAGTGTGTTCCTTGGGAACAATTAGGGAAGATCTCTTACTATGAATAAAGGCAGATGAAAATCTATGTGCATAGTGATTAAAGATCTCAAGAAATTGGGCTGGTGAGATGGCTCAGTGGTCTAAAGCACCTACTTAGAACAAGCTAAGCTAAGCAAAGCACAAGGACCGTGGTTCAATCCCCCAGCACCACATGCCAGCCAGCCCCGCCCCCTGGTGGGCTGAGCTGGCCACACACACACACACACAAATAAATAAATAAAAATTAAAAAAAAAAGATCTCAAGAAAGCGTAAATAACCTTATTACAGAGCAATAAAACCACCAGATACCGTGGCCAGTTGATGCTGCTCACGGCAAATAGTTACTTTAATCTTCTCTAGACCCTAGAAGCTAAAGAAAGCAAGCTTGAGTGTGACTGAGTGGGTTTGAAATTTTTTAAGTTCTAATTAAGAACCACTCGTGAAAGATAAGCTCATCTTCAGCCTGGTGTCTTGCCAACACTTAAGATGTTTTTGCTATGAATAAACAGTTGTTGGTATGGAGCCCTGGGAAAATCCCACGTTTATACAGAGTTTCTTCCCTGGCTGCAGGCAGGATTATTCTGGCTGTTTAGGCCTGAAGGTGGTGGGGCACTACTGATCACTACTTCTGATCACCCTGGGCGAAGAGATTCTTGGTAGGGGGAAGAGAAGTTCAATCAAGCAAGATGCCCATCACCAGAGAGAAGTAGGAATGTGCCAAGAAACACCGTCCTTCTGACTGGGTGCCCATTAGGTGAGGCAAGAGAGAGACTTTGACCCCTTTCCAGTTTTCCCGTTCCTGCAGCCTGCCACCTGAATCGTCCATAACTGCTTCAAATAGTCCTCAAACACTTCCCAGTTGGCAAAACCCAAGTCCAAGAGCAGAGCTGTCCCTTTCTGGACTCTGCAGAAGTCAGCACCACTGACACTACTCGAAAACCCCTCTCTATTTCCCTAGCACGCCCTGCTCTGAACTGAGGCTTTGAAAAGGAGTAGTGCGCGGCATTGGAGAATATGTGAGATCAGTCTGGTCCACCTTCTGGCACATGGTAAATGCTCAGGAAATAGGAACACAGTCTCTTCAACTATAAAATAGGATTTAAATGAGTTTCTGTAAGAAAGAGTAAGCTAATACGCTGTACCTGTAAAGAGCTTAGAATGAGACCCAACATACAATGAGTATCCAATGAATGTTAACTGTCATTTTTATTACAGGTTGAGCTTCCCTAATCCAGAATCCAAAATCCAAATTGCTTCAAAATCTGAAACTGCACTCAAAATATTTCAGATTTGGCAGCATTTCAGATTTCAGATAGAAAAGCTCAATAATTAAAGCCTATGCAAATATCCTACACTTGCCAATCTCTAACATTGGAAACACTTCTGGTCCCAACCCTGTAGTGACTTTCAATTCCATTCTCTTGCCCCAGCTCGATGCTTTTCTTGCATCTGCATGGATGTCCCTTGTTACATTAACTCAGGAAGCTCAATAAAAGCAGTTCAGGGGCCGGGGAGATGGCTCAGTAGATTAAGCACTTGCCTGGCAAGTGCAAGGGCCTGAGTTCAAACCCCGGTTCCACACAAAAAAAAGTAAAATAGTCCAAAAAAAATAAAAAAATTCACTTAGAGCGGACTGAAGATGAATGCCAGAGGACTTGGATCTCAGCTAAAGGATAGTATTCCAGTTACTGAACTTTCAGCAAGTGGGCCTTTTGAACGACATGATCTTCTTCGAGAAGGTTTTTCATGTGTGAAAAATGAACTGTTACCAAGTCATGCTCTTGAATTATCAGAAAAAAATTTCCAGCTCAACCAAGATAAAATGAATTTTTCCACACTGAGAAACATCCAAGGTCTGTTTGCTCCTCTAAAATTACAAATGGAATTCAAAGCACTACAGCAGGTTCAGCGTCTTCCATTTCTTTCTAGCTCTAACCTTTCATTGGATATCTTGAGGGATAATGATGAGACTATCGGATTTGAAGATATTCTCAATGATCCATCCCAAAGTGAGCTCATGGGGGAACCACACTTGATGGTGGAATATAAGCTTGGTTTACTGTGATATATGTGTGTGCTGTTCATGAACAAGAGAGGGCATCGTGTTGTAGTTGTCTTTTGCTATAATTTGATGTATACGACATTAAAAGTGGTGGCATCTGAAAAAAATAAATAAAAGCAGTTCAGGGGCCAG